CTTTTTCGAACTTCTGCAACAACGGTTGCGCACCTGCCAGGGCCATCATCCCTGTCAAATAATACCATGCGGGACACATTCGTTTTTTCTTCGCGCGCGCACGCCGTCGTCGTCGGCCGCGGGGCCCTGAATAGTAGCCACGGTCGTCCGCATGCCACGAAGTGAAGTGTCCGAACGTCATAGGGCGGGAAGCTGGGTGTGGGTGGTGGCGAAGAGTCGTTTGGAAATTTGGTAGAGCTTGAACCGGCCCCCCCACAAAGTGGGGGTATTGCCCGCCTCCTATGAAAACCCTGGCACTGGTGAGAACGGAGTGTCCCCAGTCTTAAATGATTGTTGTTGTTGTTGTTGTTGTTGTTGTTGTTGTTGTTGTTGTTGTTGTTTTCGTCGGCCCACCCGCGGCCCACCCAGCGACCCAACCCGCGACCCACCCAGCGACCCACCCCGCGACCCACCCCGCGACTCACCCGCGACCCAACCCGCGACCCACCCGCGACCCATCCCGCGACCTACCCGCGGCCCACCCGCGACCCACCCGCGACCCACCCTCCGACCCACCCGCGACCCACCCGCGACCCATCCGCGACCCATCTGCGACCTACCCTGCGACCCACCTGCGACCCGCCCCGCGACCCACCCTCAAGGGAGGAAAACGCACCTGGACCCGACAATTGACGTTTACTAAGCGGCCCTGGGCGTTGAGTAAACAGCCCTGCCCTGTTCGATTCAATATTTGTGTGCGTTTACTAGACGACTTTGCTTGTCGGCGTGATTATTATGGGGTGGATTTTCTGCCCTCGACACCCGCGACCCACTCGCGACCCACCCCGCGACACACCTGCGACCTGGCCCACCCGCGACCCACCCGCGCCCCACTTGCGACCCACACGCGACCCACCCGCGGGATTTGACTCGAAATTCTGGTCAGAATGCGCCCTGGGAGAGGTCCGGGGAGTAGCAGTATGGATACCTTTTGGTTTACCCATTCGCCGTCTCGTCCTTCTCCTCCATGGCCTGCGCATCGCATGGCGGAGCCCCCTTTTCCTCAGCTGAGGCTTCATTCCCACCAGCCCATCCAGAAGAGATCACCAGATGAGTTGCCCTCGTCAGGGTGCCGTCGAAACAGCAGAAACAGGATGAGGTGGCAGAGAAGAAAGTGGAGAAAGCGCAAGGGGACGAGGGAGGAGGATGAGGATTCAGGAGGGTGGAGGAGCAGGAGGAGGAGGAGGTCGAGGACGAGGAGGAGGAGGAGGTGCAAGAGAGCACCAGCAGGAGAATGGAGGAGAGAGGGAGGGGCGACCGCGACAGCAACGAGGACGAGGAGGAGGAAGAGGAGGAAGAGGACGACGACGAGGACGAGGACGAGGACGAGAAAGAGGAGCAGGAGGACGAGGAGGAGGAGGAGGAGGAAGAGGACGACTACGAAGGCAGACGTCAGCCATGAAGACCTTTGCGGACCGTTCGCTCTCAAAGCATCCTGCAACAAAGTTGGAGCACTGTTGGGTCCATTTGGGAAGCTTCCAGAGCTCGTTCTGGGGGCACTGGCGGCCCTCTTGAGGCAATCTTCGAGGGCATGGATCAACGGAGGAGGGACCATTATTGTAGTGGCCTTCGGCCAGTGCCGCCGATCCGGGTAGCTCGGATACACATATTACGCGGACACCTCACGCACGCACACGACCAAATGCACATACCGCAGACACACATACAGAGACACACTAGGCGCACGCCAGACACTAGCACGCACAGACATTCGCAGACACGCACCACGCACAGACACTCGCACAGGAGCCTGTCAGGGCGTCGAGGGGGCTTCTTGGGAGCTTTTGGGGGCTCTCTTGGGGGCTCTTGGGGCCTCCTGGGGGCCTCGTGGGCTGGAAGGCTAGATTTTTTCTGCTTGTCGTCCCTCTTTTGGGTCCTCTTGGGGCCGTCTTGGGGGCCCCTTGGACCGTCTTGGGTAGCTTTTGGGCCGCCTTGGGGCCCTCTTGGGCCGTCTTGGGACTGTCTGGGGGCCTCCTGGGCCGTCTTCGAGCGGTCTTGGGGGCCTCTTGGGCCGTCTTGGAGCGTCGGAAAGCAGAAAAAAGCGACAACCCCAAAAACATGAAAAAAAAACAATGGAAATCAACGATTTTTGCCTCTGGGGGGCCTCGTGGGACGCCTCTTGGAGGCCTCTTCAGACGTCTTGGAAGGCTCTTGGGCCGTCTTGGGGCCATCTTGGGCGTGTTCGGGCGATCTTTCGGGGTCTCGGGACTTTCGTAGACCGTCCTAAGAGACTTTTGCGGCCGCGGCCACCCTTGTAGCGCATCCTCGAGATTAGAGCCTTCTGTAAAAGCAGCCCCCCCGCATCCGCCGGAAACTCGCACCCCCTCTCCCCCCCCATCCCCCCTTCCCCGGCAGAGCCACTCCGGCAACCCCCCCAGAGGCTGAGGCTCAGCCTCGAGGCTGTAGCTGAGACTCCTTGAAACTCACACGCCGGATCGGCGGATTTAGCCTCGCACCGTCAGAGCCCGACAGATCACCCCTTACAGAGCCCGAAATAGAGGCGTCATATGACGCTCGCGGGGCGCTCTTGGTCGCTCTTAGGTTCGTCTTGGCTCTCTTCCGGTCCCTCTTAGGGTCATTTTGGAGGTAGCAGAGGCCTTCGGAAGCGAAAAGACGAGAAGACATTCGTCACTTGCTTACAGGCTGTTATTTCGACAGGGGTTCGACCTCTCGGGAGCATCCTTGAGAGGCCCCGTGGCCATTTGGCGACGCATTGGAGCGGTCTTGTGTCCTCTTTGAGGCATGTTGGAGGTCGCCCTGAGCCATTTTTTTTATTATTTTATGCCTCGCTGACGGTCTGCCAGGCTTTCTGGAGCCTTTCTCGGTCGCACCTGGCGCGATCGTTGCTGGTCTCTCCCCGTCCAGCCCCAGTGGATGGGGCAGAGGGACCGGTCAACCAGTTCCACCCGCCCACCTCCTCCTCCTCCTCCTTTTCTTCCTCCACCTCCTCCTCCCAAGCCGCAAGCTGTCTAGCCCAGTCCCACCCGCCCTCCCTTCCTATGAGCAGCAACCCGAGTCTCAGTACACTCAGCGGTCGCAACTAGATGGGCAGCTATTGGGTACCAGTGCGTACACACAAGGTGCGCCACGTTGGCGAGGAGCGTCACGCTTGCCCAGCGCACCAGGTGCGCCAGGCGCCCCAGAGGCTCAGGCGTGCATGGTGCGCCAGATGCGCTGCGTGCTCCACGTGCGCCAAACGTGCTCCAGCCGCGCCAGGCGGGCGACGCGCGCAGAATGTGCGGGTGGTCCGGCGCAGCTGACATCACACATCAGGATCACGTCGGCCCACCCACCAGCATCCCGAGCAAAATCTGAGATACAACGTGGATGCGTGGTGGCCATCGTGGTGTACGGCATGCGCAGCCGCATTTTACATCGGGTTCTTTGACAGGGATGGTTGACCCGCGCATTAGGCAATAGGCTAGCACCCCTGCCGATCCTGTCAAAATGCGGATCGAAGTGATCACATGCCCCCCCTGCGCATGGTTCAATATTTTGCCGCAGAGTGCACGTTCTATTGTTCTTCGGCAGGGATTGCGGGGTGATGGCTCGGCATGGTTTCGGGTCGGCAGGTCGAGGCACCTGTGAACATGGAGAAAAGGATCAGCCGCTCCCCGAAAGGGGAAGGAGGGGGTGTAGGAGGAGTTGCCCTACACCACCTCCTCCCGGGTCGCTGGTTGGATCAGCTGCACCTCGCGCTCCGAGGCCTGGGAGGGAGAGGCCCCCTCTCCCGGGGCGCGGCTCGAGAGCGCGAGGAGGAGGTGAGTTGTGAGGACCGGCGGCGAGCCCGGGGAGGAAGCGAGAGGGGGCAGACCTTCTCAGAAGGCGGCGGGGCTTCTCGGGGGCCCTCGTGCCTTTGAACAGTGTCCTGGGCCTTCCCCGATGCCTCAGGCGGCCTCTCGGAAGGCGCGAGGCTTTCCGAGAGGTCCTGCCGCCTCCCGGGGAGGCCTGTCCTCTCTCACCTCCGCCTTGGGTTCGCCGCGAAGCGGATCTCGAGGTGGCCCTCGTCCACCTCAGCTCACCTCGGCCCCTCCTCGCGCCATGCAAGAGCACGACTTGACCTGCTGTTGCCGTTTTCGGCCCGTCTGACGTCTGGCAAGCCACGCCGCGAGAGACACACAACGTCGGGCGTCTGGGGGTTGCCAGACCAGCCAAGGAGGGAGACGGGTGAGGGGGGGGAGAGTTGGCGTGTTGTCGCGGCCATAATTACCAGGACATGCGCCAGCAAGCCAGGAGGAAGCGGAGGCCGCACACGAGGAGCTGTTACGAGGAAAAGATGTCTTTCTATATACATATATACGTACATATAAACAACATATAGATATATGGTGTCGGCTCGTGACTGCATACACGATTGTATTATATGTCAGTTCAAACGCACAGACACATAGACATGCACATAGCAAGTGTTTTATGCAAATACATCTAGACGTGCATACATCTTTGTATGTAGCAGTGTATACCGCTGATGCGTTTTACACCCTCTCTCTATGTTCCAGGTATGTATTATATATATATATCCCTTCTTTCTCTGTCGCTCTGTTCGTGCCGACACAGATTACTGTGTGGTTCATTACTTCGATGTGCAGATAAATACCTTTGTGCTCATAATTTTGCGTTCCTGCGTCTCGCCACACCATGCGCGATTTAAATGGAGAAAGAGGAGGACGCGGACATTGAGTAGGATGACGACGATGATGAGGAGGACCAGCAGGATAGTGAGGATGACGAGGAGGATCATGATGAGGCGGGGCCGAGGAGGTGGAGGATGAGTTATAGGACGATGGGAGGAGGACGACGAGGACGAGGACCAGGAAGATGGCTACGAGGAGGAAGGTACGGAGGAGGAGGAGGAGGAGGAGGAGGAGAAGGAGGAAAAGGAGGAGGAGGAGAAGGAGGAGGAGGAGGAGGGAGAGGAGGAGGAGCAGTTGGTGAAGGTGGAGGCCCCCCCCTCCACGCAGGATGGCCAAGAAGCGCGCGCTGTCCGTCCTGCAGCGCCTCGCGGGCACCCTCTCCGAGCTGGGCTCCCCAGAGGCGCGCCCGGCGGCGGCGCGCCCGGCCTCGGGGGCGGCGAGGGGACCCGCGGCTCTCGTGGCCGTTCCGCGGAGGCCCCGCGGGACACCGACGCCACGGGAGGACGAGGCCCCGTGCCGCCTGGAGGTAGCTGTTGCCTAACCCCCGGCGACATCGGGCGTGACCGGGGGTCTCTAGGCCTCCCAGATGGGGTCGGAGTAGATGGGGTCGGAGGATCGCGCCGCATCGCCGATGCATCGCCGATGCTGCTCGATGTGGAGCCCGATCTGCGTTTCGTCGACGTCGCCGATGCCTCGCCCACGTCGACGATGCATCGCCGGTACATCGCCGGTGCATCGCCGATGCATCGCCGATACATCGCCGATGCATCGCCGATGTATCGGCGATGCGGCGCGATCCTCCGACCCCATCTACTCGGGCCCCATCTAGGAGGCCTCTAGTGTCTGGGGGGGGGGATGGGGGGGAGAGGGCCCGTCACGTCACGATACGCGCAGGCGCCGACTGGGAATGCGCCATCGACTCTTTTCTGCGGCGATTGCGGTTGAGAGCACACTTTGGCCATTCGGTCCGTTGTGGTTTTCAGATTTGCTGAACGATGTCTAGACGGAATCATGGCGAGATCCAATCACAATCAATTCGATGATTCTCCAGACGCGATCATTTTTCCAGAGGGTCGCCATGCTCCAAAGCCGACAGCCATGTTTGCAATGCATGCAAGCATTCAGTCCACATGCTTCCTCACCTACATCAGGAAGCTTCCGTTTCAAGCCCAGCTCGAGAAGCAACAATTACATAACATAGCATTTGTGTTTCGTCACGGATTTCCTGGGCCCCCTCTCCGAAGCCAGGGTGGCGGTTGAGGCGTTGCCCTTGGTGCGTTCCAGGGGGGTACGTTCGCCATAAGGAAGGGTATCTTCAGGGAAACGGGTACTAGAGTTGGAGACTGTCCCAAGGGACAGCTGCGCGTCGAGCCGCGGCGAACGGCGCTGTTTTTCCTTGGAGCCTGCTGTTGCTCCTCCTCTTCCGTCTCTTCCTTGTCCCCTACCTTCTTCTCCATGGCTGTTGCTTCGCATGGTGGGGTCCCCTTCCCTTCAGTGGGAGAGCTGGCACTTTCCATCATCTGTGCATCGAGTTCATGGCGGGGGGAAGGAAAACACATCGTGCCTCCGCGATGCGGCGCGATCTTCCGACCACATCTCCTCCGACCCCATCTGCGAGGCCTAGACGAGTGGGGCCCTCAGGTGCGAAGGAATCCCAAAAGCAGAATCTCCACTGCTTGAGGCCACCCGACGTTACCGGGCCCCTGTCCTCCAGGGCCCCTTTCGTATCCTCCAGCAGCCCACCCTGAGCACTTCGATTCCGACCGGGTCTCGAAGACGGCGAGGCATGATCAGGGCCCTCTTCCTCCGGGTCCCGCCGCCCACCTCACGCCGAGCACTCAGGAAGCCTCCCTGCAATCACGCGTTGGACCATGGACTCTTTTGCCCACGCGCAGAGGGGGGCGGGGGGAGGGAGGAAGGGCTTCTGAGAATCACCCCTGCTCTTTAGAATGGCTCTATCTGTAGACGTGAGGCCGGCGCTTCAAAGAAGCAGGCTCTAAGAAGCATTGTCTCCTCCCTCTACCCCCTTATCCGCGCCGCCAATTCTTTGCGAAACGCAATCGTACAGCTTTCGCGCCGAAGACCTCCGACAATCGTCGAAGACTTGTTAATACCGTCAGAGGACTGCCGACGACCGACGACGGCCGATGGGTTACAAGGGGTCCATGGTCGCATACATAGTTCGAAGGACAAAAATGTTGTAAACGTAAAGTTTTGAAGCTCCGAGCGGATTTGCTGAATCGGCGCTGGACCCTTCTCCCTTGCGATGGAGCGCGCCAGAGGCGCCGCAAGGGGGGCCCCAACGCCGATTCAAGAAATCCGCAAGGAGCTTCGCATGCTTATGTATATGCCTTTGTGTCTTCCTCTGGTAGTTCAAAGTTGCCAGGTGCGCGTGGCCAACCGCATCTTCTCGGCGAGGGTGCCGGTGCTGCGGCTGCACTGTCGCGCCGGTGCGCAGGATCAGCGGGCCGCGCGTATCATGGCTGGACGTGTCTCCCTGCCTTTGCGTGGCGGCCCTGCCGCGCGTAGTCGCAAACGCCCTTGGAGTGGGGGTTCGGGGCGTCTAAGAAGGGGTTGATGATTACGGGGGGGATAGCATGGCCAAAGCCAAGGTACCTCCCCAGATTTCATGGCACCCTGTCCTCTTTCGATACTTCCCCCGGTCCCCCCTCGCCCTTGCACCCCACCCTCTTGGAAGCCCCCCCCTCTTGGACGCCCTCGGAAGTGTTCTATTCCCCACCCGGCAGGCTGGGATTTTTGGATTGATCGGAAGGCGTTCCCGACCCGTCTCGCACCTCGTGCGCACCCCGGAGGATAGTGTAGCGGCGTTCCCTGGGGATCCCGCTCGCGTTCTTGGTTGGGGATCGCTCGAAGCAAGTTATATTCGTAGCCCAGGCGTGCTACCCTTCCCAACAACTCCCCTTCCGCGGTGCTAGTAACTCCCGAGAGCTGGTCACAGGCATGTGTTGCTCACAGACGTATCATGGCTCTCACAAGAAAGCGGGGTGCTTACAGGGTCCAGCATTCTGGTGCGCACACGTGGTATTGCAAGGGTCAGGGTGTTCTAGATGATCCCAAAGGACTTGTGAATTTGCGAAGCTTCGCGCGCCCCAACTGCCCTCATCCAGAAACGATGCACAGGCGACCTGCCTTGCTCGGACCAGTGTAGGAGCAAGCAGTAGAACCAAGAGGGGGGCTGCCGTCACATCTAAGCTTAGAAGTAGCTGAAGCAGACCCAGGAGTCCACCATGAATGCCTTCGCGTGCCCGTAGATGTGGGAGCCTCTGGACAGCGCACTTAGGCCATTTCATGGCCCCTCTCGAAGCCATTTTGAAGTTCTGGGGCGCTCTTGGGGCCGCCCTTGTAGCAGTCGTGAAGGCCCTCGGATAACAAAAAGAAACTCTTGCAGCCTTCTTTCGGTGAAGCGTAAGACTCGAGTACACCAGAACTTGTGTTTGCCGACGCTTTTTCACGAGGTCGTCCTGGAATTTGACGGTCCAGTTTTTGTGTGGGATGTTTGCAGCGGGAGATCGCGTTAAATTTCAGATTGGGCCTTGTCATTTTCATGAAGGCCCCGTGAGGTCAATCAGAGTCCCCCGAACTCGAGTCTTAGGTCTCCTTGATTCTTGAGGCTCCTGCACGCCAATCGGAAGTCACCAGGCGAAGACAAACATCGTTGTTGCCCATCGATAGTGGGAGGATGTTGAGCTCTCCGGGGCGTTCTTAGGAGGCTTCGTGGCCACTTGGGGCCGTCTTCGGATGGTCGTGTGGGGCCTCCAGGCATGTTGGAGGCTACCTCAGGCCTCAAGCTCAACCGTGTTTTGGCGATGTTGTGAACCGTTTTCGTTTCATGTCGCCCTGCAGCAAGGGCAGACCGAAGACAGCGGAGGAAAGCGACACAAAACGACAACGAACGTCACTGTTAAGCTCGAACCCTGGGCTACCGTGAGCAATCCTGAGCTATTTTTGTTCGACCTCGGAGGGATGTCTTGGGCCTTGAGCCCTCTTGTCATCGAGGAAAACATAACCCCTCACCCGAAAAACACAGTGAAGACGTGGCCTCCCTGAGGTCCCCACCTGTGCATCAGGGATGATAAATCTAGGCGGGTTGGCTCGATACATCTGCAGAACATATATCCTATATCCCTGATGGATCCGGTCCTCCTAACTTAGGTCCCCTCTCAAAAGGGCTATGGTTGTTTTACATATTTGTTTGTGTCTCCGTGGGCCGCTTTAGTTCAGGCCATACGGCAGCCTCAGCCGACCTTGCGAAGTAAACAGCTTCGGCGCAAAGAGGCCGATGGGTGACGGGGGCAAGGGCCAGTGTCGGCTCTGGTTCCTGAGCCAGGGGAGTGCTCCAGCGGCGTTGGCCTGTGTACAAGATGTGCATCCCAGGCGCAGTGGATCTCCTTCACTGCGCCTGGATCGTGTTCCAGAAGCGTTAGGCTGTTTGAGGGGACCCTATAGTGGGTGCGATTGGGGGGCGTCCCCCCAGAGGGCGACATCGAACCCGTCGGCCCCCCCAGAGCAGCACTGCAACATCCGGTGGTACTTCAGCTGACGCACCAGCCGTGGCACCGGCGCCGCTCAGACCAGAAGGGGAATTCGGGGACACACACCCCACGGAGTTGTTCGGACGTGCCCCCATCGTGTATCCCCGAGTGTGGCATCTATTTGTTGTCCAGCCAGGGGCACCTCGGTGTTCGGGGGGTGCCGTACCCCTGTCGGACCCGCGGCGAGACACCGCGGGCCGTCCTTCTCTGTGTGGGCGTCGTTGGTCATTTCCAATTCGACTCCAATATTGAGGCAATCCGGTGAGACCCGATGCTTGAATGGCGCTCTTGTGCATCCTGGCGCAGCCGATCCGAGTCGAGTTCTGGTCCATGCCGCGCCGCTGCAGCCCGTTCCGACGCATGTTCCGTTCCGATCCGTTGTCCCAATTTCGCGTTAACTGATCGCGTTCAGGAGGGAGAAATGGTTTTCGATTTTTTTGTCCGTTCGCCTCCTCCTTGTCGTCGTCCTCCTGTTCCTCCTCATCCTCCTCTTCGGCCAGTTCCAGCATGGCCGAACCCTCTTTCCATCAGTTGTGAATGCTTGCAGTCTTCGGACGTGGCTTTCAGAGATCTCTATGTTTGGGCGGCCCCCACGGGGTTGCCAGGATCCGCAAGGGCTTCTCAGAGAGCTCCCACGTGCCGCTGGGCTGGTGACTTGAAGGACCAAGGGACAAAGGGCTTCACAGCGGCTTCAGGGATCCCTAATACACACAAGGTCTCTCAAAGGGCCTCGCAATGCCTCACGAGGATTTCCAGGGGGGCACACCACTGGCTGACAAGCGCCTTCCAGGGCCTCACACGTGCTTCCAGGAAGAAGTTCGGGGGCGGCAAAGAGAGGGTTGTTGACTAGCGGGGGTTGGATATCATGACTGGGGCCATGATACCTCCCCAGATTTCATGGCGCCTCTTCTTTCTACAGTGCGGGCCGCGCACATGCCGCCAGCCATGATTTGCGCCACGCCCTCTTGGACGGCCCCCTATTGGACGCCCCCCAGAAGTGGGGGGCCGCAGACGTTTGGATCAAGCAGGCTCTGGAAGGCCACAGGAAGCAAGCGCCCCTCTCGCCCATGCGGCCCACGCGCAGAAAGGGGCGGTTCGCCGCTGCCCCTGGCCCGTCCAACTGTGGCGCAGAGCCCCTGTCTGCGTACAGGCATTTCAGATATTGATAATCGTTGGCGGATTGCAGAAGTGCTTTGTGGTATGAAAACAAAAACACTTCTTGCTGAGACAGTCGTGCTTCAAGATATCGGCTCTACGTGTCACCATCCACCGAGTCATCCCAACCCAAAGCCCGAAGGCGCAACTTTGCCCTACTTGTCCAGCGGGGGGGGCTTCGGGGAACATTCAACACCACTTGTGGAACTCGTATCCCCCCACCCGAAATTTGGGTCTTCGCTTTAGGTCGGGGTGGGTAGTCGACGTGTGTGGAACATCAGGTTGTGCTGGAACCCCAATGTGTCCGAACGCACAGTTCGTGGTTGGCTCGTAGCCTCTGTAGGACTGCCGGGACGGTCGGGCCCGGCTCATTTCCCAGCCGCGCCCGAGGACCGCAAGCCCGGCCACGGCGCGGCGCGGCTGGTGGTGGACGTCTCCGTAGGAGGGGCCCGCGGCCCTCGCCCCCCGCAGCACCGCCCGCGGCTACCCCCCGCGGCACAACCCTCCGCAACACCTCGGGGCAAGAGCCCTGCCTCGCACCTGCCCCTCCTCGTGCTCCTGCCACTCTCCTCCTCCGCTGACCCTCCATCGCTCCATCCTTCTCTCCTTTTCCTCCTCCTCCTCCTCCTCCTCCTCCTCCTCCTCCCCCTCCTCCTCCTCCTCCTCCTCCTCCTCCTCCTCCTCCTCCTCCTCCTCCTCCTCCCCAGGTTCCTGGTGAGCAGCATCGGCCGCTGCTTCTGCTCAGCAAGTGGGTGGGCGATTTGCCAGATGTCGGCGTCTGTTTGTGCGATCAACTCCCCCGAGGTGCTCGCGAACATGATGGTCTGTGATCATGCTGGCGTCAAGATATCTCTGCGCCAACGCGCGGCCCGTCCACCTCGTGAGCGGCCGATTCCTAAGCACATCTTCACCTCCGCCTTCTTCATGCAGATGCTGAACGGGATGCTGCGCGATGGGGAAGGCGACTTTTCGCGGTGGAGCCCACCCAATCCAGCGAACACAACGAGGTACTGATGAAGGAGGCGGCGGGAGAGACGAGGAATGTTCTTTTCGTCAAGTCTCCTGAGGCTGCGGATACACTGCTGGTCATTGCGAGAAGCGTCGCCAGGGCGGTCCAGGAACAGGATATTGCTCTTGCCTTGCGTCTCATCGACACGTCCAAATATGCTCAGGACACAATCCGGGGGGAGGGCAGCAAGGTTGAGCGCCGCCACCCGCCCACCTTCAAGGCGTGCATCGACAGGTGATTGGACAAAATGAATGTGCTGCTGCGGCTGCCGGTGCCTCATCGTCCAGCCCTTCTTCGACAGGTGCCTGTTCTGCCGCCTTGTTGAAAGCTATGGAGAGGAAAGCAGCTATCTGGGCGCCCTTCTCCAAGACACTCGTCTTAGCCTCAGTCGTGGGCCCTCAAGGTGCTGTATCACCCCCTGCTGATCGTCGGTAAGGTTTTCGTGATTACTGGGGGCCTGTTTTTCGGTGAAGCCTCCAGCTGAGCGAGCAACGCGAGCCAACCTCGACAAGTTCGTCAACTCTGCCAAGGATGTCATCATCTCTGTCCACCCTGTCCCTCTTTTTCGGGGTGTCATCAAACGGGCGAATCACCTGACCCTTCGGGGGGATGGGCTGCCTAGCTTGCGTGGGGGGCCTCCTCGTTCGGGCCTCAGCTCTTGGCGGCGATGTTCAGCTGGCTCTGCCAAGGACAAGCCCTCTTCGACGAGGCTGGCGTCACCCTGCAGGCCTCCCTCCCCAGGGGCTCCGAGGCGAACGATACCCCCGGTGGTTCTTGTCAAAGAGCCCCCTGATATTGTACGTAACTTGGGTCTTCGCAAGTCGGACATGAAGATTCTCTGCTCCGTCCTGCATTCCATGTTGCAGCTGGTCGGGTACCATGTGGACCCAGCGTCGCAGCGGAGCTTCATCACGGGCCGCATCTTCGGATACAACATCCTGGAGCTTGGTGTGCACTCGAGAGCAGCCTCGCAATGTTCCCCCGCTCGCAAGAGTCATGGCGCCAGAATCGCAGAGCTGATTTCGACCGGAAAACAGTAGGATGGGCCTGGAGTGTCCTGGAGAAGATCGCTCCGGATTTCGAAGTGAATTTCGTCCGCATTTCTTCGGCCAGGAATGAAGAGTAAAGAAATCCTAGTGGAATTCACTTTGTTTTTCGCTCGCAGTGTCGGGGTTTTGTTTAGCAGAAATCCGCGCAACACATCCGCTGCAGCACGTCTGCAAGGTCGGTGCAGTAACAACTGGGCTCCCGTTTTGATGGAGTTTGACTATGGCCAAGCCTCCCCGAGCCTCTCGAAGTCCTGTCTCGTGACGCTCCAGGGCGAGATGGGCATTTCCGAGGCCCTCGCCTTTGTCGCTTTCCTGTATAAGGCTGTGGAAAGGGGGTGGTCGCGGACGGGGGCGTCTTGACGATGGTCTTCCGGATACGATCTGGTATCATCCAAGGATGTAGCTTGTCAGGGTCACTTTCTGCTCTGGCATCGACTCCTATGCCACAACATCTTGAAGGGAGCCCAGAAGCTACAGGAGGAGGCCTCAGTCGGGCCTGCGCTGATGACCTTGTGGTGGTGTTACACGAGTCTGGACGTACTAAGATTGTCGCACGAGTCCTGAGGGGCATGGAGTGTATCGCTGGCCACAAACAGCAAAATTAGCAAATGCACGGTTGTCTTGCTCTTCGGCCCCATGTCAGCGTGCATGCGAGATTGTATCGTACACAAGTGCTCTCCGTCCTCTCATTTGGTTCCCAATTCGTCCCGATGCCTGTTGAGTTCTTGACCTTCGAGTAGGGTGTCACAGCGCAGGATCGAAGGTGCCCGTTGGGAATTGCTCAGCAATGAGGCGGCCCCCGAGCTGAAGTCATAGGGGGCGTGAGGTGGGGCTATGTTGCCGGCTTGGTCTTGCTCAAGCCGTTGCTGCCTTTTTGCGCGTTGTTTCATGCACGTTTTGAAATTATTTGGTTTCTTGATGTGCTTCTGCGCCCATGCACGAGCTAGTCGTTGGCAAAGGGGGATCGGCGACGGGCTCTTCGATTATGTACCGCTTGATGTCATGGATTGTAGTCGCAGGTATCATGTAATCATGTATCTGCGTTTCTGGACAGCCTTTGCTTCCGTGGAGAACCTCGATGGGATCCTCAACCAGACAATGGAGGCCATCGTCTTCCCCGCCCTCGCCGTGCTGCTGCTGGCACTCCGACGCGCCGTTTAGTCGAGGAGCGTGCGCTTGGATCTGCCTATCGTCGCTCGCCCTCAAGTATGCTCACTGTCTACGTGCCCTTTTTGGACCGAGTGCCGCGGGGGGCTTTGCAGCAGCCGCTGTGTCGCACCCCCAGAGGTGTGCCTTGGCGACGGCCCGCACCTGGATCAATGGTTGGCTTAAATCCTCGAGAACCCTTCACCCTGGAGGTCGGCAAGGGTGTTGTTTCGGTTGCAGTTGTCCTGATAGAGCTGCCCATTATTTGATATGTCCTCCTCCCTGCCGCGCTGTGAGCCCAGGCCGAAAGAGGGCGCTTTCCACGTGCTTGGCGACCCGTGCTGGCCTGGTGCAACCGAGTGTGGAGCACACTTGAAGCGCTATATGTGATGTGCCAGGCCTTTAGCTTTGCTCGTGAACGGGGTGGGTTTTTTCATGCTCTGCAATTGCGTCCGCTCGTGGCTGCAGCCATCCGGTCTCCCCGCTTCTGCCAAGCCTGCCCATGCCGTCAAGAAATGGGAATCGCCTGAAGCGATTGAGACCCCCGTGGTCCCGAGAGTCTGCTCCACATCATCTTCGTTCGACTCTGGTTCTGTGACATCTAGTGACGAGGCGTATGGCATGAGTGGTGGTGATGAGAGAAATTTGCCAGTGAATGGCGAACCGCAGGCTGTTGCGCAACACGGAGTGCGTCACCCATGTCCGTCGTGTCCCTCTGGTGGTGGCAAACGCTACGGCGATATGGCTAGCTCTCAGGAAGAGATGCACGGTGGCCCTGGTGGGGCTACTTCTGAGCCGCCCCGACATTCTTTTCGTATTCTGAAGACCACACCTCGCAGAGGGATGCCCAGTAGACGGCTATTTCCCCCCGAGGGTGCATTTTGTTTAGCACGTCGTCCCTGCCTGTGTCCCTGCTGCCTGGCGTTATATTCAGCTTGGTTCTCGCATGTTGCTCTTAGGCCGTGCTCTTGCCTTTGCTGTGCCTCACCCGCTTTCACCTCCTTCCTCTACGGACAGCCGCCTGCCAATTGAATCAACGGCTGCGTTGGGCGCCGTCCGAACGATGCGCAGCGGTCGCCCGGCCGTGCTGCGAGACGCTCTGCCCATGGTGGCGGCCGAGGCTCCTGCGGCACTTGTCTTTGTCTCCTCGCCACACGGTGCCTGGAAGGTCCTCCTTCACTTCTCGCGTTTCGCGGCTGCCCTTCTCTCCTCCTCGTCCTCCTTCTCCTCCTCCCGCTCCTCCTCCTCCTGCTCCTCCTCCTCCTGCTCCTCATCCTCCTCCTCAATCGGCGCTGGAGGCCCAGGCAAAATTTCAGCTCCGACGGAGTGAAGACTTTCTCCGAAACTCACTCGCACGACTTCCGCCCCATGCATTCTCCAATCCCGGTCGGGCGGGCGAGAGGGAGTAGGGGGGAAGAGGAACGGAGAGAAAAAACAATCCCTGCATTCACTCCGATACCCTATTTTTTGCGGCGCCTTTCTTTCGTAACAGGGTCGTAAGGTTGTGACGGGATTATATGATGCCGCTCTTTTCCAGAAAAAATATGGAGGATTGGAGTGTGACTTTGAAAAAACGACAAGCCAAAAACGCAGAGAACGGATCCGCCGTACCCCTGCTCGAAAATGCCAGATTGCCAGGATTGCAGTTGAATAACAATTGGTAGATCAAGTGCCGTGGCTGGACAGCAGCTGCCAGAGGGAAAGATGGAGGCCCCGGGGTCCAGAGGCAACCGGAGGGTGCCAATGAAGAACTTCGAGAACTTATAAACGATTCAAAATTTTGGGAACAGCAGCGCCAGGCGTTTGGCCTTGAAACCAACGAGGAATCGATAGTTTGGGAAAATATGACACTGGATATAGAAGATCAATTGCGCCCATGGAACCCCATGGCCGAGTTCTGCATTCATTCGCCCGTCAGCGAGATACGTCGAGAGACGAAGGCCAGAGGTAAGATGGAGGCCCTGAGGTGTGGAGGTCAGTGGCATTCGCCAGTGATGAACCTCGAAAACCCACGGGAGCTCTGTTGGATAACAACAGCCACAGGTTTCCGCAGCGCAGACGAAAGCAGGCGGCAAACAGGGAAAATGGAGGCCTCGAGTTTCGGAGGTCATTGGCTTCTGCCGATGGTGGATTTCGAAAACCCATGGGTTCCCGTGGGGAAGCGGACGAGAAGGAGGTCTGGAAAGATGAAGGCCAACCCGAATATTTGCAAATGTTGTCCCAGGATATCGACTCGTTTGTTCGCCGCTGGAGAGCGAAGAAGGCCTGGGAAGGGTGAGAACTGATTGGTGCCGATGACGAACTTCGAAACCCATGCTCCTCAATGATGACCCTGAGGTCGTAACGTTTTTGAGATATTTCAGTCATGCAACGACCGACGAAGGAATCACGAAACGCGTTTTGCAAACGCTGTGCGCGGAAGGGGGGGCGTCCACTGGAGAATTTTCTGAAGGATTAGAATGTTTGCTTCGCAGAGGGATTGTGTAGGTTCGGAGGAGGTGGAGAAGGAGCAAGAACATGAGGCAAAGGGAACGACAAAATTTCCCAACGGGGGCTCCCTCTGACGTCTTCAGTGGTGGAAGGCGCAGTTGATGAAGAGTTTGTCATAGAAGAGAGGACGCGGAAGCGCAACGGACGAATTATGGGCGGCATCTTCGACGCGATCGGGAACAATGTTGGCCATTGTTGGCCGGCGGCTTTCAACGGCGCAGTTCACACGTTGCCAGAAGTGGGATTCGCTTTTTTGGGATGGGGAAATATGGGAGCTATCAGCAGAGTGGGAGACAAAGACACAACAGGATCAGAGTTTCCGGGATACGTGCGGGCAAGATGTTTGTCCATATCCGGTGCCTCTTGGACTTTTTTTTGGAAGCGGCGCCACAAGGCCGAGGCGCACTGGATATGGATAAAAATCGAGCCCCCTGGGGGCAAATTTATCCATATCCAGTGCGCCTCGGGGTCCTTGGGAAGGGAGCCCGAAACTCCATACTGCAGTGGGTATGGACAGAAGTATTGCCCGCAATGCGTATTACCTCGCTGCGGCGGGAAGTGGGATCTCAGCGCGTCTGGCACGGGAAGCAGCTGTCTCGGCGTAGTGAGTAGCGAGCCCGAGCGAAGACATCCCAGAGTGCTGGAGCTTCTGTAGAGGTGGGGGGCGGGGAGCGGGGGGGGGGGCATTTCCGAGTGAGTGCAGGCGGTCTGGCTCGCAATTTAAAGAGGGGTTCAGGGGAACCCCCGACTTGGGAACCCTGTTCGCCAGCGCGTCCCGCAGAGTGGGCACGCGAAGCGGCCAGCAGTTGTCCTTTCGCACTGGCCCGTAGGGAAGTGTCTGAACCAGCGAGCTTCTCTTACGGGGCCACTTCGGAGCTCGCCCCCTTACGTTAACAGGTGTGCCCCCCTGCCTGCCCCGTGAGAAGTGTGGGTTTGCGGCATATTCAAATCACAGGGGATCTTGCCAGTTGCGCGTGAAGCACCTTCGTTGGTGTTGGCGTCGGCCCCCTGCTGCCGATTACCTGACCTCCTCATCCTCTTCTCTCCCTCCTCTCCCTCCTCCTTCTTCTCCTTTTTCCCTCCGTTCTCAGATTCCGTCCTCTGTTTGTTTTCTTGTGTGTTCGCGGTGTGCCGCTTACATGTTCATCGACTGCAGCTCGAAGCCACGGTGCTACACTACCGTTCCGTTCCCGGAAGTGCATCTGACCAGCGCGCACGCGAGAGCCCCGCCAAAGTTTGCCATCCTGTTCCTGTTCCCTTTTTGCTCCTGCTGGCGGGCAGCGGCGCGGTGCGCAGCCTCCTCGCGGTAGAAGCGGCCAGGGCCCAAGAACTCGAGACGGAGCGAGTTTGCGCGCGCCCGGATGGAATTAGAGGGCGAAGGGGAACGGCCTTCATTGTGGATGCTATTACCAGGTTGAAATTTCAATGTGCCAAACAGGCAGCGTTGAGGTTCGACTGGTCATCAGTTCTTGACTATACAGCGTTTCCAAACCATCCTGTGGCGTTGGGTCCTCGTTTTGGGTCCGCAGCCCCCCGCGTCCCTCCCCCTCCTCCTCCCCCTCCTCCCTCCTCCGATCCTTTCCTTTGCCTTGCGGACGTCCACATCGCGGTCGTCATCGCTACCGTCATGCCCATCATCATCGCCATCGCCACCATACCACCATCAGAGTCGCATGCCACATGCCCCTCACACGCTTCGTGGCCCCATGGGGAACTTCACCGACGCGGGGCCCGCATGCGTCCCCAGACCCATTTATGCACAATCCGTGGTGCCATGGGGAGCTCCAGTGGCGGGGCCCGCGTGCGTCCAGCTCAACGCTCACACTTCCCGAGGCCCCAGAGTAGGGAGCTCCACCGAAGGCCCCCATGGCAGGGCCTGCATGCGCCACCAAGCCCCTGTAGGCACAGCCCTCACACGCTTCGAGGTCCAACAGGGAGCTCCACCGAAGACCCCGGTGGCAGGGCCCGCATGCGTCCCCAGGCCAATTTTGGCACACCCCTCACACGCTGCGTGTCCCCAGAGGAGCTCCACTGAAGGCGATGTCCACAAGCGCGGCACTCGCAACTGCGCATTGATGTGTCCTTCGCCAGGGCAGCTCTGGTATGTGTTTTGTTTGTCCGGGGGGGGGGCGGCACCGCCTCCCTCGGGCGCTATCATTGGCAGGGCCCATGCCTATCCGAACGATCCGATTCGACATCGGATCTGGCCAGCCCGATCCGATTCGATTGCACTCGAGGTTGATTAGTAGGTCGACCCTGCCAAATCAAGGGTACCCTCGTGTCCTGTGTTTCGCAACCCCTGTTCACCTATGATTATGCCGGGCGTGTCCCCCTACAGGGGGATTTTCGACGAACAATAAAACATACACCGAAAATGCACCATAAATTGTCAAAACATAATCCAAAAATAGTCGGGGGATTATTTTTTGAGTATCAATGGACCTTTTTGGAGTATGTTTGGGGTATTTTTTCAATTTTTCGTCGACAATCCCCCTGTAGCGGGACACGCCCGACATAAACCTATGACAATTTGGCCCTCGGAAGTCCTCTCTCGCGTGTCCTCTCCGATCAGCCTCGATTGTAGCATATCCCGGCGATCCGAGGAGGCCCGATGTCTGCGTGTCGCTGTTCGGCATCCTGGCGCAGTCGTTCCGCTTCGACCTCTGGCCCATGCAGATGCTGCCCCTGCCGACGCACGGTCCGATCCGATCCGAGTTCCCGATTCGACGTCGACTGGTCCGTCCAGGAGGGAGCCAGTGGTCTGCGAGAGGGCTCTACCCTTACGCCTCCTCCCCCTCGTCGTCGTCGCCCTCCTCCTCCTCCTCCTCCTCCTCTTCCTCTTCGTCGCCCTCCTCTGCCTCCGTGATCCAACGCTGCTGCAGGGAGGACCGCCGTCTTGGGTTGATCGCACCTCCTCCCCGTGATCCGACGCACATCCCCGATGCGGTTCAAGCCAACCCATCCGCCCGTGCAGTCCGCGACGCTGCCGAGACCTCTCGGGCCCAGGAGGCGTCGGCCGCGGCGACCTTGCGCCGACCAGCTCGGGGGCCGCCCCCGGGGCTCGAGCTCCTATGCTTGCCACCCTCGGGGGCCGCGGCCGCCGTGCGTGCGTGGAGGCCCCCCCCCCCCTCGCGGCCCGCCCCAGGGGGCAGCCTGGCGCGCGGGGCCTGCGACCGCTGCATCCACGCGCTGCTGCGGCAGGCGCCGCGGGGGCGGCCTTCGGTGGCGCGCCGGCCGCGGGGAGCGCAGCAGCGTCGGATCTGGGGCGCAGCCGCCGGCGGGAGGCCGGCGGAAGGTGGCGGAGGGAAGCCGATGTATTGATTTTACTACGGTTTTGGCCCCATTTGGGCCTTCTGAGGGGGCAGCGCTCATCTTCCTTCATAGCAAAATCATTGATTTTACTAAGGTTTTGGGCTCATTTCGTCCTTCTCAGGGGGCAGCGCTCATTTGCGCTTCTGAGGAGGTCGCAACACATGCCCATCCCCGTGAGGCTGTGGCCTCCCAGCCCCACGAACCCCTCCTTCTGGGTGGGGATGGGCCCCGCGAGACCAGAAGGAGCAGGCGTATGTCCCCACCATGGTGCGTCAGTCGGCCAGGGGGGCCAGGGCCACGCCAGTGGGGATAGGGATCTGTTAACCGATGCTCAGAAGGGCGGGCGCGGACAAAGGCGCGTGGGTTAGCGGCTGGTCCCGAAGCCGGTCAGAATCGTGGTGCTCCGTCGCCAAATCAGGAGGCACTGGCCTCATGTATCGGGTTTTCTTTCCCCGCTCCGTGGATCCGCCTTAATGTGAGCCCGACGTGAGAAGAGAGTGCCCAGGGCTCGCTCCGCAAAGAGGTCAGCGTCGATCCAAGAAATCCGTGCAGACGTCCGACCAGTTTTGGGGCTGGGTATCTATGATTTCCGTCTTCTAGGAAAGGTGTCCCGAGGCTTCTTGCCATGTCCGGCATTGCGGAACCGCTCCCCAGGTCCTCGGGGGCGGAAAAGAGGGGGGTGATGACGAGGGGGGGGTGGATATCATGGCGTGGGTCATGATCTTTCCCCAGATTTCATTGCGCCTCTCCTTATTTCTTTACGTCCTTGGGCCCCCCGCTGGGCCGCGCACATGCCGCCGGCCATGATTTGCACCCCACGCCCCCCTCTTTGCCGCTCCCGAAGGTCCCCAGGGCTGTGTAAAGACTGGTTGGGATGCAGGGCCTGTCCCAGGGGAGGTCCCAGGAGTCCAGGGTCCTTTCCTTGTTTCCCTCATGGCAGAGGAGGGGAATTGGGAGGGGACAAGGGGGGGGGAAGAGGATCACCGGCTTGGCTGGATCAGCCTCGCAATCCTGGTCAGATCGCGCTCCGTGGGAGGTCCAGGGGTCGATTCTGCAGGAGGCTAGATTCGAGGAGGGTGGAAGAAGAGGATATTGAGGAATTGGGGCATGGTGACCGGAACGCAAGCATGCGACACAAGGTCTGAGCCAGACCTTGGTGGCCAGCTTCTTGACCCTGCGAGGCTGGGACAGCGGGAGGGGTAGGAGGAAGCTGATGGAGAGAAGCGAGAGTGGTGTTCAAGTTCCAGGCGGGGCCTTGTGTAAAACCACCGCTTGGGGAATTGATATTTGGGGACCTCGGCAGGTGGTGTTCTGGCCCCCTGGGGCCAAGCTATATCCGTATCCACGGCCCGCTGGGATCCCAGGTCGTCGGTTCCCCAGGCGGATATGGTTCAATCTGCGCCTCGCAGCAAGGAAGCGTATACGTGACTTAGCGGCGAGTGGATTTGTGACAGGTTCCGCTTCCATTCGAAACTGGCGCGCCCGTCGCCAAGGGAGGCGGCTTTTGAGCAATATTTCGTGGGGTAATTACCTCCACCCATCTGTCGACCTGGTGCCCACGCGCCAGATCCACGGGTTCGTCATACGTGTCACTGTGCGCGTGGCCCACGAGGTAAGGGAGGAAGGCGTTCAGGAGGTGCACAGGAATTTCGGGTCTGGATGAGAAGGGGGACGAGAAAGGTCGGAGGGAGCGAGGGACGCACGAGGAGGACCTTAAGAGGGGAGCGGTGTGGAGAGGATGCGAAGGGAGGATGAGGAGGGAGGGGAGGAAGATTGTGGGCGAGGTGGACGGTGGGTTAGGAGGTCTCCAGGGGGCACAGGGGGGTTCTGGGGGGAACGGCCAGCAATCATCGGCAGACCCGGGCCCCACCCTCCTTACTGCTGCTTCCTCATGTATTCCGCTCCTCTTCCCTCAGGGAAGGGAAGGCGGAGGGATGATGATGACGATGATGATGATGCTGATGATGATGATGATGATAGTGATGATGATGGTGGTGGTGATGATGATGATGTTGATGTTGGTGATGGTGTTGATGATGACGATGATGCTGATGGTGCTGATGATGCTGATGATGACGACGATGACGTTGATGATGATGATGATGATGTTGATGAAGAGGCGGTTGACGTCCATGATGATGTTGATGTTCCTCATGGTGAAGTTTATGACGATTATGGTTAATATGATGCCGGTGACAGTGATGATGTTGATGATGACAATGACGACGATGATGACGATATTGTTGCTGATGACGACGATGGCGATGACGATGGCGATGTCGATGATGGTGATGATGATATTGATGATGATGCGGGTGACGCTGATGATGCTGATGGTGATGATGATGCTGATGATCTTGGTGATGATGCTTAAGATGCTGGTGTTGCTGATGATGATCATGCCTGTGACGGTGATGGCGATCGTGTTGGTGATTAGTATCATAGTTTTTGGTGATGATGCTGGTGATGGGGCGGTTGCAAATGCTGCTGCTGATGCTGCTGCTGATGCTGGCGATGGTGTCTGAGGTTGCTGGTAAGGGTCATGGGGATGTTGATGGTGATGTTGATGTTGTTTATGATGATGCTGCTGATGATGGTTCTGAAAACAATACTTATGGTGGTGATGATGATGATGCTGATGATGACGATGTCGATGCTGATACTGTTGTTGCTCGTACTGGTGCTGATGCCGATCACGATGGTGATGTTGACGATATTAAAGTTTGATGGTGATGCTGCTGTTGGTGATGATGCTGACGATGATGCTGACGATGCTGATGATGAGGATGACGCTGATGATGATGCTGCTGCTGATGATGATGATGATGTTCATCATGATGGCGGGTAATACGTAGAGTGTGCACGACACCTCCTCCATCATTCTCTTCCTCGTTCTCCTCCCCTTTCTTCTCCCCCTCCTCGCTCGGACCGGCCGCACCTTTGTCAACGGGCTCATCTCCGGGAGATGCGCCGATCTCCAGGATACGTCCCTTCATTGCTCGGCCTTACAGTGTCCTCAACACGTCTCGGGCCGCACCAGCGGGGTTGGCTGAGCAATCGTTTCGGGCGCACCAGGGGGCCCAGCCACCTTTATCAACAAGTCGCTTTCTTTGGCGTGTCATTGACTGCAGTGCGCTTCGCCCTCGAGGCGATGAAGGAGGGGGGAGAGGGAAGGAAGGTGATTAGAATGATGGGAAGGAGGCGGGGGCAGGAGGGCGGGGGGGAAACGGGAGGGGATGTGGAGAAGGAAAGACAAGCAGGAGTAGGAGGAGGGGAGGGATGATGTTGCTGATAATGATCATGGTGGTGATGATGGTTGTCGTTAATGTAATGATGGTGATGTTAGTTTTGGCATCTTCTCGGATCTGCTGTAGAGGCTTACTGTAGGCCGCCTCAGGCAGCTCCAGCAGTGCCAGCAGCACTCCCCACACACTGCTTGCACTCAGGGGTTCTCACTTGTCAGGTAAGGAACTCGATTGGCATTTCGCGTTTTCGCCACGTTACTGCCCGTGCCGTCTCGTAGGCGCCTCGTGGGCTCCCCGCGCTGGAGGTTTCGCCGCGTTGCCGCCTCATGGGCGACTCGTGGGCGCCCCGAGTGCAGGAGGGGTATCTTCTGGCTTGGCCACGTTGCGACCCTTGCCGCTTCGTGGGCGCCGCGGGCGGTGTGGGGGTATGCCGAGGCTTCGCCACGCTGCAGCCCCTGTGTGCGCCTCGTGGGCGCCCCGTGATCTGAGCTTTGCACGGCTCAGCTTCCCTCCGCACAGCTCGCACCACAGGGCCTACACCACACAGCGTACACCGAATCGATATCACACAGTGGTTTGCCTCGTACAGACATACACCCCATGGCTTCCACCTTCAGCTCATACCGCCCAGCCTACGCGGCATAGCTTGCACCAATTAGCTTGCTCAGCAGATGTTCAGCTTCCACGTTTCACACCATTACTTGCAAGACATAGTTGCCACCACATATTTTGCACCGCATGTCTCCCACCTCTGCAGTGCAATATTCTGTGTTCGGGGTCATTGCTGGCTACCACTAGGTTAACATTATGTCCACACATGTTATCGTCGGAAAGAGCGCGTTCTGTGGTCGCTTGGAGGGGTGGGTGGGTTGAAACCAGACCCCCCTCCCCCCCCTGGATGGAGGGGGGGGGTTCGAACCCCCTCCCCTTCCCTCCTCTGCGTCCCCTCTCCTCGGACCTGCGCTTGAGTCGGCGGCGGCTGGCGCCGGCGGCGGGGACGACGATTTCCATTTTTGGGCTGGCGCTGGCGCCTGCGGCGGCGGGCGGCGGTGGCGGGGAGCGTCGACGAGGACGACGGTGGTTTGTGGTGGTGGTGGTGGTGATGGTGGTGTGGTGGTTTGTGGTGGTGGTTGTGGGTTGTGCTGCTGGTAGTGGTGGTGGTTGTGGCTGTGGTGGTGGTGTGGTAGACTGTGGTGGTGGTGGTACTGGTGGTGGGTTTTTGTGGTAGTTGGTGGTGGTGATGGTGGGTTGTGGTGGTGGTGGTTGTGGTGGTGGTGGTGGTGGTGGTGGTGGTAGTGGTGCGCTACAAAGGTTCCGCTGCGCTCCCCGCACGTCTGCCCGCCCAGCGCCAGGCGATGATGGCAGCCGCCAACGCCGCGCGCCTGCCGCGCAGGGAGAGGGGGGGTTGAACCGCCCCCCCAATTCCCTGGGCTTCGGTCATCGTCGCTGCGTCCCAGCCATTTTTTCGGGCGCCTGGCTGCGCGGGCGGACGCTCAGCCGCAGGCGCCGGCGCCGGAGCGCAGGGGGGGGAGGGCGGGGACCCGAAATGGAACGAATTACAACCGACCAGGCCCAATTCCAACCGTTCGGAGCGAATTGCAACCAGAAAAAAGACCAATTCCAACCACAAATGAGACCAATTCC